AATAATGCTTTGTTTTGATATATAAGTTGTTCGGTTTTTTTCATCTAAGAAAAGCGACATTAATTTCTTGTCTACCTAATAGTAAGATATTAACATCTTGTCACATGTTTAAAGTATAAAATCAACCACAGTAAACAAAATATTTAAAGTTTTACTTGATAAAGTTTTAAAAAAGGACAATGATAAGTATAATATTTGAATTTGGAATAAAAATGGAATTATGTTCCATACACTAGAATGCTTAAACAACTTAAACTTATGATCTTACTAATTTATACATGAAAATTGCGCTAAACAATCTTATTGTTTTACTGTTTTAGCAGATAACGTTTTTACTATCTGTTCAGTACTTTAATAACAGAATTTTAGTCTTCAAGTTTAATGATTTAATCAGTTTCTCTATTTTTTACAAAAAATTATTTCATATATATTATAAAATTTTTCCAACTGTATGAAATAAGCAACTAGTGACGAAACGAGACCTTATCATACAATCAAATTTTATTCACCATGTTTCCTTGTTTATTTTTTGCGAGAAACTTCATACGGTAGTATTTTTTACTATTTTCATAGCCGAAAACTGTATACATTAAAGTATTTGTACAAAATTTGCACGTAAAAGCTGTATTTGCATAAATAATATTGTTTGTTTTTAATTATGCACAAAGCTACGCAAGGGCTATCTGTGCTCTGCCCACCACGTAAGTCCGCAGATATACAGCTGTGCCACTGGGGGGCGCATAAATAAAAGGGAAAAAGTTTGTAAATGTGTCTCCTGATTTTATCTAAAAAGACCACAATAATTGATATGAATTAATTTATTAAGGCCCACAAGTCATAATTTTCGAAGCCACATATTTTCATCAAACACGCAAAAAACAACAACATACAAAATGCCTCTCATAATAATGACGTATCACCAATAAAGTAATGAAAATATAAGAACCCTTCAGCGAAGTGTTTGTGTTTGTTTTTATACTTTTAAATAACCCAGCAGGTAAGGATATATTAACATTTATGCATAAAAGTGTCTTAATTTGTTTGTATTGTTATCCTATGTTAGTGAAACATTTCATAAAGATAAGCTGTGGCAACAAATATCAGAATAATGCTTAACGTATTTAGAGAACCACTACAATTTTCAATTTTTTATATAAATGTATAAGATTTCATTAGAAACAAAAATACAAGCAATTAATTATCCTTCAAACTTTCAATTGAAAAAATAAATTCCCTAAAACTTTACAAAATAATAAGGAACACTAGGATATTAAACATAAAACACCAGAGAACTCTAGAAACGTAAATTATGCAAATCTAAAACCTTCATGTGCAGTGACTGAAATACCCTCTTGTAACATAATGCTTCAAGAGTTTTAAAACGAAATGTCCATAAAGATAAAAAAAATTATTATCTTTCAAATGTGAATTGAAACTAAACTGTGGGTTTTTCAACAGGAAAGAAAAGCTCATATGATATGGATAATTTCACGTTTTATTTTTACTCCACTTGTTCTGCTTAAAGTTTTGGGATATTTTATGAAATGGTAAGAAACGGAAACAGTCTGAGACGTTTATAAACATATTCATCGCTGAGTTTATTTGTTTGGTTTAAGAACAAACTTGTACAATGGATTATCTGCACTAAGCCTACTACGTGGCTCTAACCTCGCATTTTAGCGTTGCATGCTCTCCCTCGCTTACCACTGAGCTTTAATTTTTTTGTCACAAACGGACTGCAGTCAAACGTGTTAATAGTGGGTGTTATATAAAATTGAAAGTTCAGTTGAATACGATAAACAATGTCGATTATTGTTTACAAATAGTATTCTTTGTTTGATATTATTCTGTAGATGGTGCTTGGAATTCCGATTTTGTCGTCAATGCGCACATCCAGTTTGTCAACGTTGTCTGTTAGCATTCCAAGGCCACTTATTTTCTGTCATCTCAGCCGTAATGTTTTGTGTTGTTCTCAGTAGCAGGTAAGGATAGGTTTCGTTGTTATTATTATTGTTTTCCTTTATTAAAATAACATATAAACAGAATGATCACTTGAGAAATGTCCTTAACCACGTCCTTACTCGACGTTGCCCGGGTATTACCTGAACAGAGGTTAGCTATTTTTAAACAGAAATTATCATAATTTCACTTTTCATATAACAATACACTCCAAATGCTCATATTTCTGTGAGATAAATGGCTTAAGATCGTAAAAATTCAAGAAAATAAATGAAATCATTCGAATGCCTTTGTATAAACGCCATTTTTGGCTTCTTGTGGAGTCCTACTGTCCTACCGCATTCGTTTGATTGCTTGTGATTGGCTATCAGAATCTTTTTCTCGACATTTCACTCTTACATTTTACATAATCAGCGTCAGAAATGTTTATCATACCTAAATCCCCTCCCAAAATAAAGTGAATACAAACCAATTTATGTTTGCAGAATTTCGCGGGTTCAACTTGTCTATTCAATAAAAAGTTACTCTTGTTTGTCAATAGACACGACAGCGTTTGATAAATTTTTATTCTGACACCACAACGGCAGCACACCTCTCTATAAAATACGCATACATTTTTCTGACGTTATTTCTACTTAAATCAGACCAAAAATCCGGTCCGTTTTCTGTGGAAAAATTATATTTCAAGGCTTTCATTGAGTCTAAAAACTTGACATCACAGATATTTAACCTGAATACGCTTGTTCCATATCTTTATAGGCTTACTATTATAAGGGCTGAAAGATGCGAACGAACAGAACAAACAATTATTCATATCTCTTTCTTTTTTTTAATAATGTCAGATTTGTTTTTTCGCTGCACGGGTAATAAAAGCCTTTATTAAAATTATTTGTTATTAATTTGAAAATCACTGAAAGAACTCTTAAATGATCAAAATGCAAAAAAAAGCATTTTTACTATAACTTTTTTTGATCGATATATAAGTCAAATATTTTGACACACATATTTTGAAAATAGTTTTAGATACAAATGAACAGACATTTAACTGTATTCATTTCCGCCAACAATATGAACTCTAACACTTTTATGCGTTTTTGTTTACAAACCTGTTGTTACAAAACTTATTGTTTTACATTATTGGCGGAACTGATAATGTGAATTGTAACACTTTTATGCGTGGTTTCTGTTTAAAAAAAGGTAAAACAATAACAGTTTTATAACAACATGTTTTTAACAAAACACTTTTATGCGTAGTTTCTGTTTAAAAAAAGGTAAAACAATAACAGTTTTATAACAACATGTTTTTAAAAAACGTTGTACGACATATAACCTAAACTCTTGTTGAGCCCTCGATTTAACAATCACTCTCTCAGCTAACCAAACTACTCAACTTATTTTGTAATTTAAAATCAAAGACAATATTTAGAAACTTACATAAACTCAGTGTCTATGTGGTTTCGATGTAAAATTAAGTCTTTAATTTAAAATGTATTATTTGAAGAATTAAATATCCCATTATTATTCTCTACATAATACCTATATCTATTAACATGAAAGATATAATAAACTGGAAAATATTCAAAGACAAGAAAATTGTATTTTCCTTATGCTTATTATATCGAAGCAATTGACTAATGTTCTATATTCATTATAATTCTATGTATTTAATCATTTTAATACCAGATGTCAGTTATTTTTACGACTGTTGCCTAGATACCTATTTTAAATAGCTTATCGCCCAGTACACTGTTGCCCGATAAAGGTTTCGGTAAGAGGGCCGAAAGCTCACAAACAAAAAATAATGTCCGTGTATAATAAAAAATAATACCCAGGTGCACACCCTCAGAATTCCCTTAGTATCTCAGCAAAGTTTCACATCTCTAGGTTCTTTCCTCTTGGAGCTATGGCGCTAACTGACTGACACACAAACACACAGGTTGTATTATTAGTATAGATTATACGACTAAGAAAAATGTGCATTAAGTTGAAAATTTAAGCAGTCATATTCATTCATATTGGATTGGACCGTGTATTGGCCTTGTGGCTAGCCTGTCGGACAGCGGATCGATAGGTCTGAGCTTCAAAATGTGATGCTATTGAACACGCCACGCGCTTTCACCAAAGCGCGTTACAAAAGTGATGGTCGATCCCTTTATTCGGTTCAAAGATTCAACTAAACCCCTTTTGATGGGGTAACACTGTTTATCTTGTCTTCCTCCTTGTCAGTAGGTCAAAATTACAGGTTACTGACCAGGACGTTCAATCTATGTGCACATCATATGATGATGTTCCTGTTCATAATTTCAATTTTATGCTCCATTTTAGACTAGGTCTTACAAGTAAAGTGTATTATTATTTTTTTACAAAAACAGTTGTTTAACTCTATGTCTGTCCATTTCTACACATGAAAGATATAATAAACTGGAAAACATTCAAAGACAAAAAAAATTGTTTATGAAAGATTATACAGTCTATTCAATATTTTGAAGAATAGGGATCCTCAGAGGTAACAAATACTGTTCATATTACATTTATAGTGATTTCAGAGGTTTTTTTACTATGCTAGTAATTTATTTTTATGAATTATTTGGTCTAAAATCTGTTTAATATACTAGAAAATAAACATGAAGCCTAAACCATTGTTCTATTTATCACTTGTAACTAAGTTATACCGGTTTCAGGGAATTCCCCTATACATTATAATATATTCTCCCCACTACGTGAAGCCTAGTCTTATTCTTTCGATTTGCCCGGCCCGGCATGGCCAGGTGGTTAGGGCGCTCGACTCGCAATCTGCGGGTCGCGGGTTCGAATCCCTGTCACACCAAACATGTTCGCCCTTTCAGCCGTGAGGGCGTTATAATGTGACGGCCAATCCCACTATTCGTTGGCAAAAGCGTAGCCCAAGAGTTGGCGGTGATGACTAGCTGCCTTCCCTCTAGTCTTACACTGCTAAATTAGGGACGGCTAGCGTAGATAGCCCTCATGTAGCTATGCACGAAATTGAAAAACATCAAACCAAACCAATCGATTTGCCCTGGTCCTGGGTTACTGATGAGTATTAGAATTATTCGAAACCGGTATAACTCAATGACAAGTGGTAAGTCGATTTTGTTAGTTCTCTTGGATAATATTTTTTTAAACTTCGACCATCAATAGTTTTAAAGAAAAACTTATGTACTTATATAATTTGAGATATTAAAGATATATATATATATTTTGTAACAAAATTATTGTGTTATTCTTAATTGAGGTTCTAACTATCTGAAAATTATTGTTAATTTTTGTTTTCTAGATGGTGGTTTAAATTTTCGGAGTGAACCACTCAGTATCAGAAGGGTAATACTATTGAGTGCAGTTTTATGATATCCCCAGTAAATCCGACTTCCTATCAGTCCCAGCTGCAGCTAACGTAAAATCTTCAGTTTGTTACCAGTTTGTGTTTGTTGTAGGAAGAAGCAGAATGAATATTTAAGGAACGACGTAAATAGCGATCATATTATTTCATGTTTTTTAATATTGTATATTTAGGTGTGATGTAGATCTAATTAAGAATTTAAACAGAATGTAAAATAACAGTCATAGAAATTTCGAAAATATTGAATGTACATATAGCTATAATTCTAAACGGGTGTAAATAAGATTTTAAAATGCATCAAAATCAAAATAAGTTTTTCAGATATTATATATCCTAAATATAACAAAATTTTGGGGGGTTTGAATGGAACAATATAAGACCGTTCAAATAATTTCACAAAATTGTCAATAAATTACGTATAAGATTAAGATGAATATATTGAAGTAAATGTATTAGAACTAGTAATTTTGTAAAAGGCAGACTTCAAAAATGAGTTCCATCAGCCTGAATGTGTTCACTAGAATGTCATAAGTTTTTTTTTATTCACCTTATGGATAACTATTAAATTTGCACAAGATGCTCATACCACATAAGTTATTTCATTGAAATGCATGAATCATTTAGACGTGTTTCGACAAAGGTGCTGTAAAATGGAACTGACAGAAAGTTGAAGTCTTCAAAGCAGATATATTTGATTTGTGTATATACTTCTTTGTCTCTGTGTGCCACGAGTGTATTTAATGAATTACATCATTCCTGGACTATCATTTTTTTTTTACCTATATTATAAAGGATTAATCTATCAAGAAGTTATTAGCACAACTGTTTTTTTTTATCTCAAGCCAGATATATGTGTGTGTTTGTGCAAAATATTATCATCATATATTTTGTTTCAAAACTGCATTATCTGGTTGTGGTTGGGTAAGTAAGAGAAACAAATAAAGAAAATTCTAATAATTATATCTTTATTGTTCAATATTGGATGCTTTAGTCGATTTGATTTTGTTAGAATAGATTGAAGATTTATATGATTGGTATACAGTAAAACGGTAACTTTGCATTTCTTTATATCACAATTATATTAAGTTGTAATGTTAGACTATAAACCCAAGCATGATTGTTGTAATTCAAACATTTATGTTAATATTATTTAATATATATAAGTAATAGTACGCTCTCATAACTCTAACTTGAACCGATTCAGTAGTTCGTGTTAGTTACTCCTCATGAACGTTTAATACTTTCTAATTTCTGGTTTAATTAAGAAAGATTAAATGTAGTCAAAGTAAACTTTCATTTTATAAACTCATTCAAAACTGTTATTTTTCAAAATGTAGCACATTATAGCTTTACCTTTGAAAATCGATTTCATACAAAAGTGACGTAAACGCACCGCTACAAACAGATATGTGTATAAACATTAGTTTTTTCAAAATATTCTCTGATGGATTCAGTAAACAAGTAAATAAAAAAAGTACTCAGTTAAAATGTTTGCACACGGAAGTTTGGTCAGAGTTTGTTATAAATATCATCACCAAGGATGAGGCAATTTAAACCATAAATATTTTCCAATGTCTGCATTATGTAAATATGACAGGCACCCGACCTAGGAAATATTAATGAGGATTATGCTCAAAAGCGAAAACGACTTATACACATGAAAATAAATAAAAATATGTTCAAAAAGAGCGTGAAAACTTTTCTAGCGCTGTGAAATTTAAAATTAGCACCTTTTGCTCGAAAACTACTTGAGAGCATTATTCCTTATTACGCCTAATTACAATCTAATACAGCTGTAATGAAGGGTATTCAGTGGGAGACGCTTATGAGTCGGTCTAGGGATTTCATTTAATTATAGTGGAAGCAAATAGAAGTTTTTGTAAATCAATGTTTTCAGTACATCCAAACAAATAAAATCTTACATATTAGATTTTTGTCTTTGTGAATGTAGGTCTAAAACCATTTAGTTTGCTTTCACACTGTTCAGGGCCAGCTGACACTCTTAAATATGCCACTTGTCAACACTAATAAGTGAGGAAAGGGTACTTATCCACACAAATGAATGAGCAAAATAATGATATCAGTTACTATAAATAAACACAACATTATATATATATATAGTGGACAAAATATTATCCATGTAATAAGTATGAGAGGAAAAATTAGTTTACTTTACATGACAACATTATTAATCATATATATATAATACATAAATACACTGGTGTTTTCACGTTGTAAATGAATGATTATCTAAGATGAAATAGTGTATTATGATCATACATTTCGCTTTCAAGACGTGTTCAAAGTTTATCCGCAACAAAGATTAAGAACAATTTTCGATACATCATCACACTATAAACCCTCTTTAACACTGTTGCTTTTCGTCTCTAACCTAATTTTTTCTGACATTCGAGAAAACCGTGATCCACTAATACAATATGACGACACTTGAGACGTGCAAATATATTATCTTTACTAAACTTTCATAATCTCGAGATATCTAGATCTACATTCTTATGGAATAATCTCGAGATATCTAGATCTACATTCTTATGGAATAATCTCGAGATAACTAGACTCTACATTCTTATGGAATAATCTCGAGATAACTAGACTCTACATTCTTATGGAATAATCTCCAGATAACTAGACTCTACATTCTTATGGAATAATCTCCAGATAACTAGACTCTACATTCTTATGGAATAATCTCCAGATAACTAGACTCTACATTCTTATGGAATAATCTCCAGATAACTAGACTCTACATTCTTATGGAATAATTTCCAGATAACTAGACTCTACATTTTTATGGAATAATCTCCAGATAACTAGACTCTACATTTTTATGGAATAATCTCCAGATAACTAGACTCTACATTCTTCTTTCATAATCTCCAGATAACTAGACTCTACATTCTTCTTTCATAATCTCCAGATAGCTAGACTCTACATTCTTCTTGAATAATTACTTGTTTATAAACACATGCTTTGTAAGCATTGTGTTGGCGTGGAATGACCTGACGGTTAGGGCACTCGATTCGCAACCTAAGAGTCATCAAGCATTCTCGCTTCTCTTAAAGGCTTGGGAGTGTTATGATGAGATGGTCAATCGCACTTTTTTTCCCGCAGAAGTTCTAAAGGTAAACAATAAATGTACAGCGTAATCAACACTTTACGTAAACTTCCAGAGAAAACAGCAATTTTTTTTTCGGAGGTCGTTTCGTGATGAAATAACATTTAGTTCAATCCAAACTAACTACAGCTGTACAACTATAACCAGTAAATATATATATGGGAGTAAATAGTTTTACATAAATTCTGTAGTGCCACTTGATGTCAACTTCAGCGATATTGACCAGATGTTATTCCTCTGCTTTAGTAGCAATTAATCTTTCTCTTTAACACTTTAGTATCACAGTTAAGTTCGTAATCTTAGGTAATATAAAAACAAATGTTTATAACTTTAATTAATCTGTGTGACAAATACAAAATAAACAACTGCCAAAACTGTACTGTTAGATGTCCCGTGAATGGTATTTTTAAAACTTCCTTCATGTTAAATATGCTTTTTTGTATGTTTTGAGGATTTGGTTACTGTGTTTTAATATTTTAAGAAACTTGTGTGTATTACGAACTGTTTCAGGTAATTTTGTATTTTTAGAATCATCATTATACTCAAAAACAATTGAAAGACTTGTACACATGAAGGTTAAACATATATATAGAAAAAGATACCTAGGGTTTAAAATAATTTATTACATAAACGAGTAGGCTCCAGTATTCAGTATAAATTGTAAAAATAGTTTGTTTTTAAATTATAGTATGTCTCATCTTAAACGTTAGTAAAAATTCGCCACCTTTTTTAAAACAGCTAATTACTTGAGTCAAAATGCATTATAGGCAATCTAGTAATAATAGTTACATGTCCTATTTATGTCGACGTTGAACGCGTGATTTAAAAGTACTTGAAGAATAATTAACATACTTATTTACTAGAACATGATCATGAATTCTCCACCTGTTTTAATTTACACCAATATATGTTCTTCAAAATAATCGATTTTTGAATTATAATTGTGAAAATATTATAAATACAAATTAAATGCAGATATTTCCCCTCAATCAGCTTAATTTTTCCATTGTGCATAGAAATCGTAAGTGTGTAAAGAATAATATTTCAGATATATCTCTTGTCTTCTACAAGTCACCGCCGCCATATACAAAATAAGAGCAATGTGAGGAAAAAAATCTCCAGTAAACTTGTTTTTTTAACAAATTTTGGCCCATTGGTTTCCTAATATTTCATCGGCTATCAGCGTTTAAACCGTAATTGTTAAACGTATTTATAACATATTGTACTTTATTTCTTTGTAAATTTTGACTGCCATGAAGTTGTTTTATTATTTCATTTTTTCTTTTTTAAAATAATCTAATAAAATTCTTCATCTCTAGAGGCCGCTATTTGAAAATCGTATATATGATATTTATATTTATCATTTACATTTAGATATATGCCCCAGTGTTTCTGTAGTAAGTCTGCAGGCTTAGACCTTAAAATTCTGGTTTCGATACCCATGGCGAGAATATAGTCCCTTGTAGAACTTTGTAGTTTTCGTAGTTGACAGCAACCAAGCAATTAATTTTATATTGTATTATTTGTCATAAGCTCAATATATCAATGCCAAAATATGGATTTAATTGAATTTTTTTAAAATGATAAGGTGTATATTATTTGTGACCTAAAAGTAAAAGAATAATACCTAATTACAGTGAAAGAAAATTAAAAGTTACAACCTCTTAAATGCTGATATTATAAGATGAGTTTGTTAGAACTAATTATGGAAACAATTAACCATAAGTTTTAGTTAGATAGCTTATAATCATTTAAAATCCGTGTCATGATAATAGCAATTTTCATCTGTAATAATTATCTGTAATAAATGAAATAGCGATTTTTATATTTATTAATATTTGCTGATACAATGTTTTCTTTAAGGGGACTTTTCTGATATTATATGAACTCAGGGGACTGTTTGCCTATTGTAAAATTTTATTAGAGACAAGTAAGAAAAAATGCTTTACACATATACAAATAAATCGTGTACGCAAAACGTCTGACGCT